CTGCCAGCGGCACATTACGCTGTGTGGTAGATTTAGTCTTTACTAGTATTAAGAGAGAGAGAGAGAGAGAGAGAGAGAGAGAGAGAGAGAGAGAGAGAGAGAGAGAGAGAGAGGTTTCTGGGCTACACACTACTTTAATAAAAGCATAGACCCACTATTTCTGAGACTTGATGACTCCCAGAGCTGGAGAAAATGTATCACCGCCATGTTAGGAAGCTGAAGTGGGCAGAGCCAGCAGCCACAGCACTGGTTTCAGTCTTAAAAGGCTACAGTTTAAAGCAATAGGTTCACAATAAGACTGATTCAGATGAAATAGCTTACAATGTATATAAAAATGTATGTAGGCTTAAAAGAGAAAAATAAAGGAATATATACAGTTATATAAACAAATAGTTTTTAAGAATAAAGTCTTTAAACAAACAGTAAAGGTAATAAGCCACATAAAGATGGCTATCACACAGACAATCTGGATTATATTGTCTTTGATATTCGTGACTAAAGAAAAACATTTGATTGTAAAAGCTGTTAAGTTATGCCAAAATGTATATTTTAAAGGTAACTTGACTTCAAAATTTGGATATAAGGATATGTTGCTTTGAAAAAGAGGTTCTGCTTTTGTTTCCACAGAAAGCCAGAGGCTATGGATTTGTTCCAGATTAAGATACATCAGGTTTGACCAGCCAAGACCCCCTGAAAGGTCTCCGATGACACCATGACCCAGATAATCTAACATCCAGAACGGTTTCAAGGCAACTGGCTCACACAATACAACCTCACGGACTACCCCATAAGCCTAAAATTTTCTTTGTGTCCCCATAAGATACAGTGCCCCCTTCCAGCAGGAAGTAGTAAGAAAATCTACGCCCAAATTCCCAAATATACCAAGCTGGCTTTGGAGATGGAATGGGCTCACTCCCTCTCTAAACCCAGATATATTCCTAAAATAAAAAGGTTAAGAGATTCTTATGTCCCAAATCAGAAGAGCCCTCTGGTGTGGGACAGAGAAAAACCAATATTTTTATTTAAAACAGGTTGATTATAAATGTGATCTCTTTCTAAAAAACAAAAGAGGATATACTATAGATATGATAAGATGAAAGGATAGATTAATGAACCTATTTTAAAGAGTAACAACTTGTTTAAAATGTTTTATATTGCTATGGATTTTAGTTTATTGATACAAGTTTAAACTTAATTTTGTTATACTATATATATGTGTGTATATATATATTTCTATTCTTGTTTGAGGTATTACGTTTATATAACTCATTTAAAATTGTAATGGAAAATTAAAAAATAGATTAATAATTAGTCATCTATGATAATCACATTTGTAGCCATGTTAGTTAAGTCTTCTAGGTATACATAGATATATTTGAGATCGATAGGTAGTCTTCAAACACTTCAAAGACCTACAGAATATGGCATTTAAAATGTTTTAAAAGTTTAGACGTTCTGGACAGTGAGACATTTCTGCTCCTGGCAGCACTGGATTTACTTCAGAGAGGAGGATGGGCATCGAAGACACTTTATATAGAGTTTATCTTCACCTTGGCAAAGATAGACATTTGGGCAAGAAACTGTTCTTGCCTGGACTGTTTCTGCCTTGGGCAAGAAACTGTTCTTGATTGACTGGACTTGCAAGAACTATAGAAGGATGACCACTAAACTTTGCTTGACAAGATGGTCCTTCAGGTTCCTGCTTTGCAGAGAAAACTGCCAGACATTCTACAGGACACACACACACACACACACACACACACACACAAAAAAAAAAAAAAAAAAAAAAAAAAAAAAAAGATGGAAGACTCTAGCCCTGTGAGCTGAAGACAGATGCCCCAACTTTTCAAAGGAATATGAAGTGATTGTCCAGGATGTCAGCTGTCTCTGTCTACCCTGCAAGACTCCCGAAAGTTGCTTACATCCTTTTCCCATTTCTCAGGTAATATTATATCCTTCTGAGGTCTTTGATGTGGTTGAAGACTAGATAGTGTTAATTTCCTCGGTTATAATAAAAGATAAGTTAGATATAAAACCTTAAACTCACAAATATAAGATAGATAGGATATCTTCTTTAATATTGTAATTGTAATTCTTGCTTGATAATTGTTTTGTTATATGTAATTTTACTATATTAAAGTTAAAACCTTTTTTTAAAAAAAAAGAAGGAAAGGGGAAGTGCTGTGGATATCACTCTATATAAATAAAACACTGATTGGCCAGTGATCAGGCAGGAAGTATAGGTGGGACAAGGAGAGAGGAGAATTGAGGGAACAGGAAGAAGGAATGGGAGACTGCCTGGAGCTGCTGCCAGGACAAGAAAGATGTAAAGTACCGCTAAGCCACGAGCCATGTGGCAAAGTAAAGATTAATAGAAATGGGCTAAATATAAGAGTAAGAGCTAGACAATGATAGGCCTGAGCTAATGGCCAAACGGTTTAAATAATGTAAGAGTCTGTGTGTTTGTTTTATAAGTGGGTTCTGGGACTGGTGGGACTTGGTGGCGGGAACTGGAGAGAAATTCAACAACACACTTCCTCTCATATTCATTTCTTCTTTATTATTGTTATGCATGCACAAGCCCACACATGTGTATATATGACCTACTAAGTCAAATATTACTTGAGCTTTGTGTATCAAATATCCTCGAAGTACCAACAGATAACCCTGTTTAATTCATCTCTACTGAGAAGGAGAAGGATTTTCAACAAGTCTTGAAATGTCTGGAACTTGTATAGTTGGCTTTTCATCATCCTGTAAAGACAGTGATCAGACAAACAGTAAGTTTGTCTGACAATACAAGCATTGTGAAGAGTTTAAGCATGAGGGGCTGTAATGAGGAAGAATGCTATGGTACCATATTCTCTTTCTCTTCTCTGGCCCTAGAGTTGCTACTGGTGCTTTCTGAGCCTCGGGGTTTCATTTCTCTCTCAGAGATGAGCCCATTGAAAGTGGGCTCTTTCAAACAAAGTAGCACATCCTGATAATTAGAAGGATGAGGTGACACTCATCGCTCCTTTGTGAATAAGTCTCTGTAGGGAAAGAAAACAGGCTGAATTAAAATATTAATCAATCATTACTGAAATGTAACTAGTCTGAAATAGCAGACCTCTGCCAACTATGTTCCACACTAGTCTCCAGTCCAAGCTCTTTTCAAATATTAACCTCAGATGGAAGCAACCTTTTGCTCATTTGTGTGTTTACCCTTCTTATTGCTGTGATCAAATATCTAACACAAAGCAATCTAAGGGGAAGGATTATTTTGGCTCACAGGTTGAAAGGATGCAGTCCATTATGGTGGAGACTATTGACAGAAGCCTGATGCACCTGGTCACATTGCATCTGATGTCAGGAAGCAGAGAGCAGTCAGGAAATGGAGCTCGGCTAGAAAACCTCAAGGCCTAACCCTAGTAACACATTTTTTCAGTGACACTTCCTCTCCTAAGGGATCGAGCACCTTTCAATGGAGCACCATCAACTAGGCAACAAGTTTTCAAACACCTGAAACTAAGGGGATGTGGTAGAGCCACTTTATATCAAACCCTAAGATGGGTCTTCTCATCTTCTCAGTGTGTGTGTCAAACCCTAATAAATTTCTTTGGGTCTTTTTCAATAAGACTGATTCATGTTTAAGACTGTTTTTCTGTGCATGGGTAGTTGTGATTCCAGAGAGAAAATCAGGGGCAATTCCCACAGCCTAACTACGCTAGGGAAACAGGATTAAGAGGCTAAGAACATAGTAGCATCTAGGGTGAGACATTTTAGTAACAGAGAAAGAAAAGCTGCCAGCCAGGAGCTGGGAGGGAAAGGAACCCGAGTGTCCTGTGGTGCTAGCTTAGATAGGTCTCTGTTTTTCTTGGTACTGGTTCTTACCCACTTTCCTTACCATAGAGATGGGTTTATAATTAAGACTCTGTAAGCCATGACATCATTAGCTTAGTTTGATATGTCCTTTGATGAGCAGCATCCCACAAAACTAAAGGAAAGTGGGTTCTTTAGCAGATAATAGTGGCTTGCTGAATTCTCAGTACACATACGAGAGTTGTAATCCTCTTTCAGACTTCAGTTATCCTTGGTTTCAATGGAATTTTTGTTTCTTCTTTTAAATTGT